CTTGTTGATGGGAAGCTTCCCACCGGAGTGGAAATCATCTATCGGACAGATGGCAAGCTGTTTAACCTCAGCAGACTGAAAGCCAAAACCAAGGTTACAACAACATCTGTTATAGAACTCCAGTATGCTGATGACAATGTCGTCTGTGCGCATTCAAAAGAAGATCTAACCTCTATACTCTGGCCAAAACCAAGGTTACAACATCTGCTATAGAATTCCAGTATGCTGATGACAATGTTGTCTGTGTGCATTCAAAAGAAGACCTACCAGCCACTCTAAACACCTTCAAAGAAGCATATGGGAAGCTTGGCCTGTCATTGAACATTGAGAAAACCAAAGTGCTCTTCCAGCAGACACCAGCCAACCCCTCTCCAATGAAAGAAATATGGCTGTAACATTAGAAACATCTGTTATAGGACTCCAATATGCCGATGATAACGTCATCTGTGCACATTCACCAGCAGTCACCAGCCAATCCTTCAGCAGAATGAAAGCCAAAACCAAGGTTTCAGCAACATGTGTTATAGAACTCCAATATGCCGATGATTATGTCGTCTGTGCACATTCACCAGCAGTCACCAGCCAATCCTTCAGCAGAATGAAAGCCAAAACCAAGGTTACAACAACATCTGTTATACAACTCTAGTATGCTGATGACAACGTCGTCTGTGCACATTCACAAGAAGACCTACAAGCCACTCTAAACACCTTCACAGAAGCATTCGAGAAGCTCGGCCTGTCATTGAACATCGAGAAAACCAAAGTGCTCTTCCAGCAGACACCGGCCAATCCCTCTCCAATGCCAGAAATGCAGCTTAATGGTGTAACATTAGAAAATGTTGACCATTTCCGCTCCTCTGGCAGCCACCTCTCCACAAAAGTCAACATTGAGACTGAAATTCAACACCGTCTGAGCTCTGTGAGTGCAGCATTTTTTCCGAATGAAGCAGAGAGTGTTCGAGGACCGGGACATCCGTAGGGATACCAAGGTGCTTGTTTAAGAAGCTCCATTGGCTGCCGTTCATTTTCCGGTCCCAATTCAAGGTGCAGGTTCTTACCTACAAAGAAAGCCCTGAATGGTTTGGGACCCGCCTATCTACGTGACTGCATTTCTGTGTACGAACCCGCACAATCTTTTCGATCATCCAGAGAGGCCCTGCTCGTGCTCCTGCCTCCTTCGCAGGTGTGATTGGTGGGGACGAAGGAGAGGGCCTTCTCGGTGGTGGCCCCCCGACTCTGGAACTCACTCCCCAAGGATATCAGGCATGCCCCAATATTGGCAGTCTTTAAGAGGAGCCATGAAAATGTGGCTATTCCAGGAATAAAGGAATAACTCCCAGCAAAATGTCCTTACAAATGCACTTTAACCTTAAATCCTGTGTGTTATTGTTATATGTGATTTATATTATTTTGTATTGCTTTGTATTGTTTTTATTGCTTTTCTGTTGTGATGTGTTGTTGGGCTTGGCCTCATGTAAGCCGCTCCGAGTCCCTTGAGGAGATGGTGGCGGGGTATAAATAAAGTTGTTATTATTATTATTATTATTATTATTATTATTATTATTATTATTATTAAAGCCATTGTCCTCCCAACCCTGCGATACACCTGCGAAACGTGGACTGTCTACAGATGTCACACGCAACTCCTGGAACGATTCCATCAGCGCTGCCTCCGGAAAATCCTGCAAATCTCCTGGGAAGACAGGCGGGCAAACGTCAGCATGCTGAAAGAAGCAAAGTCCACCAGCATTGAGGCAATGGTCCTCCGCCATCGACTCCGCTGGACCGGCCACATTGTCCGGATGCCTGACCACCGTCTCCCAAAGCAGCTGCTCTACTCCAAACAGAATGTTGGAGGACAGGATAATAATAATAATAATAAATAATGTTGGTGGGCAGGAAAAAAAGATTGAAAGATGGGCTCAAAGCCAACCTTAAAAACTCTGGCATAGACACCGAGAAACTGGGAAGCCCTGGCCCTTGAGCACTCCAGCTTGAGGTCTGCTGTGACCAGCAGTGCTGCAGAATTTGAAGAGGCACAACTGGAGGGTGAAAGAAACGTGCCAAGAGGAAGAAGGTGCATCAAGCCAACCCTGTCTGTCTGGAAACCAATGCCCTCACTGCGGGAGAAGATGCAGATCAAGAAGAGGGCTCCACAGTCACCTACGGACCCACCACAACACTGACCTTGGAGGACTATCCTACTCGGACAATGAGGGATCGCCTAAGTAGGGAGGCCATAACTAAACCCTCCCTGAGGCTGTTGGGAATTGTGGGAGTCAAAGTCCAAAACACCTGGAGGAAGGGCCGAAGTTGGCCCATGCCTGGTCTAAAGATGTCCTTCCTTTGAAACCCTTTAAAGTTCAAACAAAAACCCAAAACGGATCTGTGTACGCAATCCTAACATGGGATCAGACAGAATCAAAAGGGTGCATGTATTTTAATGCAGTCTGACTCCTTCTCAGCTGCCTTGTCCCAAGGCTATGGAATGGTGGGAGTTGTAGTTTTGCAAGGGCTTGAGCCGTCTGTGTACATAATCCTAACATGGGATCAGATGGGGTCAAAAGGATGCATCTATTTGAATGCAGTCTGACTCCTTCTGAGCTGCTATGGAATGGTGGGAGTTGTAGTTTTGCAAGGTCTTGAGCCGTCTGTGTACATAATCCTAACATGGGATCAGATGGAGTCAAAAGGGTGCGTCTATTTGAATGCAGTCTGACTCCTTCTGAGCTGCTATGGAACTGTGGGAGTTGTAGTTTTGCAAGGTCTTGAGCCGTCTGTTTACATAATCCTAACATGGGATCAGATGGAGTCAAAAGGGTACATCTATCTGAATGCAGTCTGACTCCTTCTGAGCTGCCTTGGCTCAAGGCTATGGAATGGTGGGAGTTGTAGTTTTGCAAGGTCTTGAGCCGTCTGTGTACATAATCCTAACATGGGATCAGATGGAGTCAAAAGGGTGCGTCTATTTGAATGCAGTCTGACTCCTTCTGAGCTGCCTTGGCTCAAGGCTATGGAACGGTGGGAGTTGTAGTTTTGCAAGGTCTTGAGCCGTCTGTTTACATAATCCTAACATGGGATCAGATGGAGTCAAAAGGGTACATCTATCTGAATGCAGTCTGACTCCTTCTGAGCTGCCTTGGCTCAAGGCTATGGAATGGTGGGAGTTGTAGTTTTGCAAGGTCTTGAGCCGTCTGTGTACATAATCCTAACATGGGATCAGATGGAGTCAAAAGGGTGCGTCTATTTGAATGCAGTCTGACTCCTTCTGAGCTGCCTTGGCTCAAGGCTATGGAACGGTGGGAGTTGTAGTTTTGCAAGGTCTTGAGCCGTCTGTTTACATAATCCTAACATGGGATCAGATGGAGTCAAAAGGGTACATCTATCTGAATGCAGTCTGACTCCTTCTGAGCTGCCTTGGCTCAAGGCTATGGAATGGTGGGAGTTGTAGTTTTGCAAGGTCTTGAGCCGTCTGTGTACATAATCCTAACATGGGATCAGATGGAGTCAAAAGGGTGCGTCTATTTGAATGCAGTCTGACTCCTTCTGAGCTGCCTTGGCTCAAGGCTATGGAACGGTGGGAGTTGTAGTTTTGCAAGGTCTTGAGCCGTCTGTTTACATAATCCTAACATGGGATCAGATGGAGTCAAAAGGGTACATCTATCTGAATGCAGTCTGACTCCTTCAGAGCTGCCTTGGCTCAAGGCTATGGAATGGTGGGAGTTGTAGTTTTGCAAGGGCTTGAGCCGTCTGTGTACATAATCCTAACATGGGATCAGATGGAGTCAAAAGGATGCATCTATTTGAATGCAGTCTGACTCCTTCTGAGCTGCTATGGAATGGTGGGAGTTGTAGTTTTGCAAGGGCTTGAGCTGTCAGTTTACATAATCCTAACATGGGATGAGATGGGGTCAAAAGGATGCATCTATTTGAATGCATTCTGACTCCTTCTGAGCTGCTATGGAATGGTGGGAGTTGTAGTTTTGCAAGGGCTTGAGCCGTCTGTGTACATAATCCTAACATGGGATCAGATGGAGTCAAAAGGGTGCGTCTATTTGAATGCATTCTGACTCCTTCTGAGCTGCTATGGAATGGTGGGAGTTGTAGTTTTGCAAGGGCTTGAGCCGTCTGTGTACATAATCCTAACATGGGATCAGATGGAGTCAAAAGGATGCATCTATTTGAATGCAGTCTGACTCCTTCTGAGCTGCTATGGAATGGTGGGAGTTGTAGTTTTGCAAGGGCTTGAGCTGTCAGTTTACATAATCCTAACATGGGATCAGATGGAGTCAAAAGGGTGCGTCTATTTGAATGCAGTCTGACTCCTTCTGAGCTGCTATGGAATGGTGGGAGTTGTAGTTTTGCAAGGGCTTGAGCCGTCTGTGTACATAATCCTAACATGGGATCAGATGGAGTCAAAAGGATGCATCTATTTGAATGCAGTCTGACTCCTTCTGAGCTGCTATGGAATGTGGGAGTTGTAGTTTTGCAAGGTCTTGAGCCGTCTGTGTACATAATCCTAACATGGGATCAGATGGAGTCAAAAGGATGCATCTATTTGAATGCATTCTGACTCCTTCTGAGCTGCTATGGAATGGTGGGAGTTGTAGTTTTGCAAGGGCTTGAGCCGTCTGTGTACATAATCCTAACATGGGATCAGATGGAGTCAAAAGGGTGCGTCTATTTGAATGCATTCTGACTCCTTCTGAGCTGCTATGGAATGGTGGGAGTTGTAGTTTTGCAAGGGCTTGAGCCGTCTGTGTACATAATCCTAACATGGGATCAGATGGAGTCAAAAGGATGCATCTATTTGAATGCAGTCTGACTCCTTCTGAGCTGCTATGGAATGGTGGGAGTTGTAGTTTTGCAAGGGCTTGAGCTGTCAGTTTACATAATCCTAACATGGGATGAGATGGGGTCAAAAGGATGCCCTTGCTTTTTCTCTCCACGAGGACACTCGGAGCAGCAGCTACCCAGGACACCAAAGCATTGGGCTATAGAGGGGCCAGAGGGTATTCATCCCACAGTGGAGACACACCCTTGGATCACAGAGTTGTGGGTTTTGTGGAGTCCAAAATCCTTGGAAATGAAGAACGGGGCGGAATCGGGACCAAGGGTTGCGTTTTGCAAGCTTGCAATCCACAATTCGGGTCTGGACTATTCAGGACCTACACGACAGACACGGATGTGGATGGCGGAGTTGTTGCGTGTGCGGAGGGCGGCCTCGTCGGTGTCGGTCTGGGGCTCGGCGGCGTCGGCCAGCTCCACGGTGGAGGTCTGGGCGTCCAGGCGGAGGGTGCCGGCCCCTGTGGCCTCCAGCTGGAGGGCGATGTTGATGGCCCGGTTGATGGCCAGACCCAGGCCGTGGACGCAGATCTCGCGGACGCCCGAACCCGGGGCCAGCAGCTTCTGGCAGCGGCTCAGCTGCGCCTTGAAGTCCGTCTTCATGTTGACGTAGATGTCGGTGCGGCGGCGGGGAAGGCGGCGGGGAAGGCGGCGGCGGAGGGCGCACTCCGGCTCCGATGGAGGACCGGGCGGGTCCGACATGGCGGCTGCAAACAGAGGACGATATGGGGTGAGACAAGGTGATGCATGCCATATGCCGGCAAATATGGAAAACACAAGAATGGCCATCAGATTGGAAAACATCCACATATATCCCCATACCAAAAAAGGGAAATGCGAAAGAATGCTCAAACTTTTGTACAGTGGCCCTTTGGCACATTTGTGTTTATATATGTGTGCATGTGTATATTTGTGTGTGCATGTATGTAGATGTATGTGCGTGTATATTTGTGTGGATGGAACACATCAGCGCTGCCTCCGGAAAATCCTGCAAATCTCCTGGGAAGACAAGCGGACAAACGTCAGTGTGCTGGAAGAAGCAAAGACCACCAGCATTGAAGCGATGGTCCTCTGCCGTCAACTCCGCTGGGCCGGCCACGTTGTCCGGATGCCTGACCACCGTCTCCCAAAGCAGTTGCTCTACTCCGAACTTAAGAACGGAAAACGGAATGTTGGAGGACAGGAAAAGAGATTGAAAGATGGGCTCAAAGCCAACCTTAAAAACTCTGGCATAGGCACTGAGAACTGGGAAGCCCTGGCCCTTGAGCGCTCCAGCTGGAGGTCAGCTGTGACCAGCAGTGCTGCAGAATTTGAGGAGGCACGAGTGGAGGGTGAAAGAGAGAAACGTGCCAGGAGGAAGGCGCGTCAAGCCAACCCCGACCGGGACCGCCTTCCACCTGGAAACTAATGCCCTCACTGCGGAAGAAGATGCAGAACAAGAATATTATTTATTTATTTCATTTATTTCACAGTTTTGTATACCGAGCTTCTCAACCTCGTCGAGGGACTCAGCCCGGTTTACAGCCATAAAAACATATACATTCATTAAAATATCATATATCACAAATTACAAAACAACTTTAAAATACACTAAATATAAAACTACAGTGGTCAGTCGTCCTATTAAGATGGATCTATATCCACTTCCATCCAGAGTCCTATGGTGTTGTCTCATTCCTCGAAGGCCTGACTCCACAGCCACGTCTTCACCCGTTTCCTAAATGTTAGGATGGATGGGGCGGTTCTGGCCTCCAGAGGGAGAGAGTTCCAGAGTCGCGGGGCCACCACCGAGAAGGCCCTGTCCCTCGTCCCCACCAGGCGCGCTTGCGAGGCTGGTGGGACTGAGAGCAGGGCCTCTCCAGATGATCTTAATAATCTTGATGGTTCGTAGGGGAGAATACGTTCGGAGAGGTAAACAGGGCCGGAGTCGTTTAGGGCTTTATAGGTCAACACCAGCACTTTGAATTGTGCTCGGAAGCTAATTGGCAGCCAGTGGAGCTGGCGTAACAGCGGAGTGGTGTGCTCCCTGTACCCAGCCCCCGTTAGTAATCTGGCTGCCGCGCGTTGGACTTGCTGCAGCTTCCGGGCAGTCTTCAAAGGCAACCCCACGTAGAGAGCGTTGCAGTAATCTAAGCGGGATGTAACCAAACCTAAGTGATCCCTTAGAGTTCCTCAGTATAGATGCATTCGCAAGAAGGGAATCAATTGCATAGGATCCTGGTTTCAAAATAAATCAGGACAGAATCATAGAATCAAAGAGTTGGAAGAGACCTCATGGGCCATCCAGTCCAACCCCATTCTGCCAAGAAGCAGGAATATTGCATTCAAATCACCCCTGACAAATGGCCATCCAGCCCCTGTTTAAAAGCTTCCAAAGAAGGAGCCTCCACCACACTCCCTCCGGGGCAGAGAGTTCCACTGCTGAACGGCACTCACAGTCAGGAAGTTCTTCCTCATGTTCAGATGGAATCTCCTCTCTTGTAGTTTGAAGCCATTGTTCCATTGCGTCCTAGTCTCCAGGGAAGCAGAAAGGAAGCTTGCTCCCTCCTCCTCCCTGTGGCTTCCTCTCACATATTTATACATGGCCTTCATCATATCTCCTCTCAGCCTTCTCTTCTTCAGGCTAAACATGCCCAGTTCCCTAAGCCGCTCCTCATAGGGCTTGTTCTCCAGACCCTTGATCATTTTAGTCGCCCTCCTCTGGACACATTCCAGCTTGTCAATATCTCTCTTCAATTGTGGTGCCCAGAATTGGACACAATATTCCAGGTGTGGTCTAACCAAAGCAGAATAGAGGGGTAGCATGACTTCCCTAGATCTAGACACTATGCTCCTCTTGATGCAGGCCAAAATCCCATTGGCTTTTTTTGCCGCCACATCACATTGTTGGCTCATGTTTAACTTGTTGTCCACGAGGACTCCAAGATCTTTTTAGTTCTCCTGACAAAATACATTAGGAGCTGTGGACTTCCGACTCGGTATCCGAATCTCTTAGAAGAGTTAGACCCAAAAATAGTTGCTCAACGAGTATTGGATATAGAAGGCCAAAAAGACATCGCTACCCTCAGTAAAGCTGGCTCACTGAAATGGTTAGGCCGCTTTAAACATACCTTCCAAACAGCTCGATATCTAAAAACAGAAATGCCTAAACACCTTAGGAGGGTATTTACCAGAGCTCGTTTTGAACAGCTGGATACAATGGACAAGCACGGAAGGTTTAATCAAGTCCCATACAACGAACGATTTTGTATTTGTGGAGCACCAGAGGTGGAGGATATCACACATGTATTGTTCAACTGTGAGCTGTATAAGAAAGAGAGAGACCATTGCCTTGGACCATACATTATTCAAAAAACACACTGGGACCCATATATTAAAACCTCATTTTTGTTGGCCGGCCAGAACCCTAAAATAACACACAAAACAGCCCTTTTTCTATTCAAAGCAACACAGCTGAGAATTGCACATTTAGAATCAATTGGGGTAAACTGTGGAGGTGACGCAGACATTTGACCTGAACGAGATCTTGTTAACAGCTTGTTTATTTTAACTTCTTTTATACCGAGGGTTGTATGTTGTATGTATGACTATGTGTTAATTGTGTTATGTGTTAAATGTTTTGATACGGCCAATAGGCCAATCAATAAAACGTATCTAAAACGTATCTATCTATCTTGTATGGACATGGCGGCTGCAAACAGAGGACGATATGGGGTGAGACAAGGTGATGCATGCCATATGCCGGCAAATATGGTAAACACAAGAATGGCCATCAGATTGGAAAACATCCACATATATCCCCATACCAAAAAAGGGAAATGCGAAAGAATGCTCAAACTCTCGTACAGTGGCCCTTTGGCACATTTGTGTTTATATATGTGTGCATGTGTATATTTGTGTGTGCATGTAAGTAGATGTATGTGCATGTATGTGTGTGTATATTTGTGTGGATGGAACACATCAGCGCTGCCTCCGGAAAATCCTGCAAATCTCCTGGGAAGACAAGCGGACAAACGTCAGTGTGCTGGAAGAAGCAAAGACCACCAGCATTGAAGCGATGGTCCTCCAACATCAACTCCGCTGGGCCGGCCACATTGTCCGGATGCCTGACCACCGTCTCCCAAAGCAGTTGCTCTACTCCGAACTTAAGAACGGAAAACGGAATGTTGGTGGACAGGAAAAGAGATTTAAAGATGGGCTCAAAGCCAACCTTAAAAACTCTGGCATAGGCACTGAGAACTGGGAAGCCCTGTCCCTTGAGTACACCAGCTGGAGGTCAGCTGTGACCAGCAGTGCTGTGCAGAATTTGAAGAGGCATGAATGGAGGGCAAAAGAGAGAAACGTGCCAAGAGGAAGGCGCGTCAAGCCAACCCCGACTGAGACCGCCTTCCACCTGGAAACCAATGCCCTCACTGCGGGAGAAGATGCAGAGCAAGAATAGGGCTCCACAGCCACATACGGACCCACAAGGAAGACACTGGAAGACAATCATCCTCGGAAAGCGAGGGATCGCCTAAGTAAGTAAGTAAGTAAGTAAGTAAGTAAGCTTTTAAATGCCTAATATGTGTATGTATGTGTGCATGTGACAGTATATGAGTGTGTGTGTGTGTGTGCATATATATGTTTATATATGTGTGCATGTGTATATTTGTGTATATGTATATATGTGCGTGTATGTAGATGTATGTGCGTGTATGTAGATGTATGTGTGTGTATATTTGTGTATGCTTGGGTATATATACATATGTGTATGTATGTGTGCATGTGTATATGTATATGAGTGTACGTATATGTGTGTGTGTGTATATATATTTTGGGGGTGTATTTTGGGGTTTTTAAGTCCTTTCTGCTGGTTTTTCAGTGTTTTTATGAGTGATGGTCACTTGTTGGCCTGATAGGTGTCTTGTGTCCAAATTTGGTGTCAATTCATCCAGTGGTTTTTGAGTTATGTTAATCCCACAAACAAACATTACATTTTTATTTATATAGATTAAAGATTAATTAGGTATTTTTAATTACAAAACGTGTTTTTCAGTGTTTTTGTGAGTGATGATAAATTGTTGTCCTGTTAGGCGTGTTGTGTCCAAATGTCGTGTCAATTCGTCCAGTGGTTTTTGAGTTCTGATAATCCCACAAACGAACATTACATTTTTATTTATATAGATAATATAGTAATAATAATATATTTATTATTGTTTTTATTTATTATTTATGTTTATTCCCCCCCCTTAAGAGACTTGTTTGAGCTGGGAAATATTCCCCCCAACCCAGAATCCCCCTTGCAAACTAGTATTGGACTACATTTCCCAG